TTTCAGTGCTAATTTAATACTATAAAAGATGGTACCGTATTAGCTTCATGCTATCTCTGAGAAAAAAAAATATTTTTACTACTACTTTTTATTAATTAGAAAGGTAGAGAAGAATAAGAAGTATGTACCATTCAAATGAGACGATTTGGGAAGTTTCCTCGTGGACATCTATCACTTCAACTATTTCAACGATTATTTGGGCAAGATATTTAATCTGAAAAGTGTGAAATAATTTATCACAAATATAATCTATTTTATTGCATATATGAAAATATGAATAAGAATGCAATGTTTCTATTGTTGTTAGCTATACTGTAAGTAACATGATTAGTATGAATTATGTGAACAAGAAAAATTCATGAAGAGGTAATGATTTAATGAAAGATGGAAGAAGAATGAGTTCAGCAAAAACGTTTAAACAAAATGTAAAATTTCATCGACTATGAATTTTATGAAAAACAATAAATAAGCCTGAAATGGTTATCGATCTAATTCTCTTCTATCATTGAACAAGCGTACGCAAAGCATTCTTTCATCGTAATTGAACCATTTCCATTAAACGTAATTGCAACATGTCATACACCTATAACGAATGAGGACCACAGTACGATACTTTAGGTTTGGCGTTATTGATCGGTGGTACCAATTACAAGGAACACGTACGTGTCTTTCTTCAATCTATGGATACTTCTTCCTGAAACAGATTGAAGACTGATGGCGTACACGAAAAAAAAGACAGATAGGGGCGAACATACACGCACATACGTACACACGTACATACACAACCAGTTTTAGATAAGTTTTAATTCCATGCAAATTGTAAAAAATTTTCTACTTAATATTGTTCACATTTCTCATTTTCATTTCGGATTATTTTTAATTTAGGCTTTTTCTTTGCATTTCAAATAATTCCTAATTCAAATTTTTGAATCCCGTTCCAAATGAATTACGGATAATATTTAGATAATAGATTATTAGATGACAATACTTGTACAATCATTCCCTGATTTATTTGTAATTGTTGTTGAAATTTATAACATTATCCTAATCAAATTTTATATTTCAACAAACTTGATCGATATTTTATAGGGTGTTAATTATTGCAAACTTGCCTAATCCATCCTGCAGCTTTTCCTCAAATAAAATAGAATCGTGACAGATTAATGTATTTTTTAAAATAGAATCGTAATATTTTAGCAACTCATAGATTTCATATTTTTAAGTTGCCATCTTATCGTATTATCATGGATAAAAGATGTCAGTAGGAAAAAAATTAATGGCTTTAACATGAATTTGCTTTTTTTTAAAAATTTTAAGATGTGAATGATTTTAGAACAAGTTTGACTGTTGTTTTGATAAATATGTCAAAATATCCGAAATTATCTTTTACAAAGTAAAGAAAAATGACTAATAAGTCGGTTTTTTTAAGCCAAGCATATTTTTATTATACGTTTTTCTCTTTGCATTCATAATACATATAAGAATTACATTTTTTTTACACATTAAAAATAATCATTGATTTGTATTTTTTTATGAATTACTGTGAAATTAATTGAAGATGAAATAATATTTAAGCATAAAAGATTTACAAACAAATTGATAAATTTTGTAAGGATTATCACATTTGTGAATGAAGGCGAAAACTAATTTTGAAATGACAAAGCACAAAAAGAAAAAAAAATTATCAAATTTTATTATATGCACATTGTAGGTCATAATAATATACAAAAATATTTAGCATCCTTTACTCAGCAACGATAATATATATTTCTCTTCATAGTACAGTTAATGACATTTGGTGTAAATGTAGTACAATAGACGAATTTAAAGATTATTGATGATAGGTTAACAGTATTATAGATTCCAGTTTCCATAAATAAACATATTAATATTGGAAAAAAAAACAATCCCACATGTTATCCCGATTTAAGTCGACATAAACACCCCCTCACCCTCATTAACAATATAATGAAAACCTCATCAAATTAGTCAATAAAAATGATAAGTTTGATTTGTGTTGGGAATTATTGAAAATGTTAATTAGCCAGTGTGCCAATCTCTAAACTGATTAAAGTTAGCTTTTTGATTCGAATAAAATAATTCAAATTCACTTGCGCCGGTTTTTCATGTCCCAATTGATGTGTAATTGCTTATTAGAAAGTAAATGGTCTTTATTCAACATCGAATACATTGGCTAATAAGAAGAGAAATTGTTTGAAAAGAAAAATCGACTTTACATAGTAACGAAAATATTGTATTTTCATTAAAAGATTAGACTATAAGAATGTAGGAATAAAAACGGGTCGATTCCCTAATTAAACTATAAGATATTAAATCCAAACCATCAAATAAATTCCATCAATAACTTCGCACGCCATCTGATAAAAAATAGCACAGTACAAGATTTTGCCTTTACACTTTATTTTACACTTCATATATTCTCAAGCTTTAGTGCATTGGAAAGTTTTCTGCTCTTATGACAATAAGCGCAGCATTCAACAAAATAGCTAACGTTCAATAAATTTTTGAGAATATGACTTTCAGGCATCAAATTTAGTTTAACACTAATACAAAAATAATAAATAGAGATAAGAAATCGCAGCTTGTTGCAAAAATCGTTAATGCACAAGTTCAGGCTACTGCACTTCCTATAATTTCACTTACTGTCGAATCGTCAGATCTGAAATTTCTCCTTTTTGTGATGTGAGATTTTTTTTTCGGTAAAAATTAAACAAATAAAATATGAATGGTCAATTTCGAAAAATGACACTATACAACATAAGCTATTAGCTTATTTCGAAGGATAATAGTTTAATCTCATTTCATGCAACAATATATTATTATGTACACTTTAAATTTTTTGTGTCCATACAAACAAGTTGGCTATATAGTTGTAAGATATACAGGAATAACTAATAAAAGTTCGTAATCTGCATAAGGATTTTCTTTATAATGTAAAATCCTTGGATCTAGCGAAAAAAAATAACCTGACAATAAAATTCATTGTAACAGTTCTGTCAACTGAGTCCAGTACAAGCCGTGCTTTTGCCAAAACTTCGTATCCACCGCGAAATACGCCAGATAAAAGAAGTAAATGTGCACTTTTACCTTCCGTCACGCGATCAGATCGTTCACATGGCCCTAATCCTACACATTTGATCAGTTCTCCTACCGCATCTATAATATAATTATTTAAACTGTTATCTAGCATCTTACCTATTTTTTTAGACAATACTTATTTTTTATACTGTTTAACATAAGATTAAATACTCTTCAAACATGCTAATGAATAGGGAATAGATAAATGTCAACATAAGGATAAAACAATAAAGATTAAAGATTCAATGAAAACAGCGATACTGATGATGACTAACATTTATATACTATTACCAGATTAACAATCTCCAAAATTTCTGACCTCAAACCTTTCTTTAAATATATCAAAAAAT